GGATCAAGGTCCATAGTTATCGCCTTGTTCTATCTGTGGAGTTGAGTGGGATCAGAGTCCATAGTTGTCCCCTTGTCCCATCTGTGGGGCCAAGTGGGATCAGAGTCCATAGTTGTCCCCTTGTCCCATCTTTGGAGCTGAGTGGGATCAAGGTCCATAGTTATCTCCTTGTTCCATCTGTAGAGTTGAGTGGGATCAAAATCATAGTTGTCCTCTTGTTCCATCTGTGGGGCTAAGTAGGATCAGAGTCCATAGTTGTCCCCTTGTCCCATCTTTGGAGCTGAGTGGAATCAGAGTCCATAGTTGTCCCCTTGTCCCATCTGTGGAGCTAAGTGGGATCAAGGTCCATAGTTATCCCCTTGTTCCATCTGTGGGGCCGAGTGGGATCAAACTCCATAGTTGTCCCCTTGTTCCATCCATGGGGCTGAGTGGGATCATGCTCCCTCATGGAACCCCATGTTCTGCCTTACTCTGAGAGGACTGATGGCTCCCTATGGTGCTCTGGTGCACCCCACAGCATCTCCCATGGGTTGAGGTGTTGAGGAACTGGGAAGGAGCGGAAAGGGGGGCGATTCCACGTTGGTTCTTCTCCCCCTTTGATCCCCCGTGCGTCCCGCAGCTTCCCGGGCGGAGCCGGTGCGGGATATCCGCTGCGAGTTCTGCGGGGAGTACTTTGAGAACCGCAAGGGTTTGTCCAGCCACGCTCGCTCCCACCTGCGGCAGATGGGGGTGACCGAGTGGTCGGTCAACGGCTCCCCCATCGACACCCTACGGGAGATCCTCAAGAAGAAAACCAAGCCGTGCGTCATCAAGAAGGAACCTCACCCTTCCTCCATCGAACCTCCCAAAGGCATCGGAGAGGAAGGGCTGGAGCCGAAACCCACCGGGAAAATCCTGCAGGGAATGACCCTGGCTCCTTTAGGTGGCAGGCCGGGGAAACCGGGCCCCGGGAGCTCCAGCCTGAGCCGGGAGCTGTCGCTGTCCCCTCTGGCCAGCAAAGGCCAAGGTGGGTTCCTGACGCCGCTGGCGGCCAAGCGACCGCTGCAGGAGGAGCGTTTGGGTCCTCACGGCGACGTCAAGCACAAGAGCTTCATCCAGACCGAGCTGCCCTTCAAGGCCAAGGCCGTGCACGACAAACCCACGCACACGTGTGAGTGTGGGCTGCGGGGAAGGGCAATGGGAATGGCCCTCGGGATGGTGGGGGGGGGGGGAGTGGGCACTGGGAATAGGGGCACAGCAGGTTGGGTTGATCCAAGTTTGCCTCCTTCATGGGGGCACCAGGCTCATAGGAAAGGGTGGGAAAGGGGAATTTCAGACCCACAGGCGGGAACAGGTTCCGTGCTGCATCCCAGCTGCGTCCCACTCAACCCCCTCTGTGTCCTGGACTGCATCCCCACAGCGTGAGCAGCAGGTCCAAGGATGGGATCCTGCTCCTCTGCTCTGGTGAGACCCCACTGGGATGCTGCATCCAGCTCTTGTGTCCTCAATACGAGGACATGGAGCTGCTGGAGCAGGGCCAGAGGAGGATGAGCAGGGGCTGGAGCAGCTCCCGTATGGAAGAACACTGGGGATGGAGAAGCTGTGTAGAGAGCTCAGAGCAGCTTCCAGTGACCAAGGGGCCCTCCAAGAACGTGGAGAGGGACCTTCATGAGGGACAGGACCAGGGGTGATGGGTTCAAACTGCACTCAGCTTGGAGATCAGGGAGTGAGGGTGGTGGGACACTGCGACGGGATGCCTGGAGAAGGTTGGGATGCTCTAGCGGATGGCAGCGGGTTGAAGCTGCCTGCTGGGCACCTTCCCCCCCCCCCCCCCCCCAAAAATCCCATCCCATTCCATGCTTCCCCGTTTCCCTGCCCGCAGCCGGCGAAGCCTGCTGTGAGCTCTGCGGCCTCTACTTCGAGAACCGCAAGGCGCTGGCGAGCCACGCGCGGGCCCACCTGCGGCAGTTCGGCGTCACCGAGTGGTGCGTGAACGGCTCGCCCATCGAGACCCTCAGCGAGTGGATCCGGCACCGGCCCCAGAAAGCCGGCGCCTACCGGAGTTACATCCAAGGGGGCCGCCCCTTCACCAAGAAGTTCCGGAACTCCTCGCATTCCCGGGATCACCACCACCACCACCACCACCACCACGACGGCGGCGCGCGGCGGGTGCCGCTCAGCCTGCAGGCCGGCGGCGTGGCCTTCCTGAGCAAGGGATTGACGGCGGAGCTGGCTCCCGGCGAGGCCAGCAAGATCCTGGATGGCGGAAGCGGTGCCGAGCGGCCCATGATCACGTCCCCGCTCTCCTTGGTGAAGCTGGAGGAGCACCAGCGCTCCAACATCAACAGTGAGTCGGGAGGAGCCGGGAACAGCCCAGCCTCGTCCCTCTGCCCATTCTCAGCAGTGCCAGGGGCTTCTTTTACTGGGACTTTTCCTCCTCTTCTTCCTCCTCCTTCTCTTTTCCTTCTCTTCCTCCTCCTCCTTTTCTTCCTTTTCCTCTTCCTCTTCCTATTCCTTCTCCTCCTCTTCTTTTCCTCCTCCTCCTTTCTCTTCCTGTTCCTCTTCATCTTTGCCTTGCTCTTCACCTTCCCTTTCCTTCTCTTCCTTCTCCTCTTTTCCTCTTCCTTCTCCTCTTTTCCTCTTCCTTCTCCTCTTTTCCTCTTCCTCCTCCTCTTTTCCTCTTTCTCCTCCTCTTTCTATTCCTTCTCCTCCTTTTCCTCCTCCTCCTTTCTCTTCCTATTCCTCTTCATCTTCTCCTTCCCTTTCCTTCTCTTCCTCCTCCTCTTTTCCTCTTCCTCCTCCTCTTTTCCTCCTCCTCTTTCTATTCCTTCTCCTCCTTTTCCTCCTCCTCCTTTCCCTTCCTATTCCTCCTCCTCTTCTTCCTCTTCTCCTTCGCCTTGCTCTTCACCTTCCCTTTCCTTCTCTTCCTTCCGTTCCTCTTCCTTCTCCTGTTTTCCTCCTCCTGTTTCTGTTCCTTCTCCTCCTCTTCTTTTCCTCCTCCTCCTTTCTCTTCCTATTCCTCCTCTTCTTCCTCTTCTCCTTGCTCTTCACCTTCCCTTTCCTTCTCTTCCTTCTGTTCCTCTTCCTTCTCCTGTTTTCCTCCTCCTCTTTCTATTCCTTCTCCTCCTCTTCTTTTCCTCCTCCTCCTTTCTCTTCCTATTCCTCCTCTTCTTCCTCTTCTCCTTCCCCTTGCTTTTCACGTTCCCTTTCCTTCTCTTCCTCCTCCTCTTTTCCTCTTCCTCCTCTTTCTATTCCTTCTCCTCCTTTTCCTCCTCCTCCTTTCCCTTCCTATTCCTCCTCCTCTTCTTCCTCTTCTCCTTCGCCTTGCTCTTCACCTTCCCTTTCCTTCTCTTCCTTCTGTTCCTCTTCCTTCTCCTCTTTTCCTCCTCCTCTTTTCCTCCTCCTCTTTTCCTCTTCCTCCTCCTCTTTTCCTCCTCCTCTTTCTATTCCTTCTCCTCCTCTTCTTTTCCTCCTTCTCCTTTCTCTTCCTATTCCTCCTCTTCATCTTCTCCTTCCCCTTGCTCCTCACCTTCCCTTTCCTTCTCTTCCTTCTGTTCCTCTTCCTTTCCTCCTACTTTTCCTCTTCCTCCTCCTGCTTCTCTTCCTCCTCCTTTTCCTCCTCCTCTCTTCCTCCTTTTCCTACTCTTCCTCTTTCTCTTCCTATTCCTCTTCTTCTTCCTCTTCCCCTTCCTCCCCTTCCCCTTCCTCTTGCTCTTCCCCTTCCTGCTCTTCCTTCTCCTGTTCCTCCTTTTCCTCCTCCTCTTGCTCCTGTTCCTCCTCTTCCCAGTTCCCTGTGATGAGCAGGGGCTTCTCCCCGCAACCAGAACTGACCCGAGTGGCCATACCGCTGGTGCCGTGCTGGTTTGAATGCCCCCCCCCCATCCCACTCTAACCCCCTCATTCCCACCCTTTTCCCTCTTGGCAGAGTTCGAGCGGAGGCAGGCACGGCCCCTGGACGCTCCAATCCACCGGGAAGAGGAAGGAGCAGAATTCCAGCAGAAGATGGAGGAGACGCGGCAGCCGCCGCCGCGGGTGAGGCCGGTGCCGTCGCTGGTCCCTCGCCCGCCCCAAACCTCCCTGGTCAAGTTCGTGGGGAACATCTACACCCTCAAATGCCGGTAGGTCATCCCAAATCCATATCCATAGGGATAACCTCTTGTCCCAGCTCCGGGCAGCATGGATCTCCCTTTGTTAGGGAGCCCGCTTCGTGCCGCCCGGAACCATTCCCAAACCCACACCGTGTTTCCATAGGTTCTGCGAGGTGGAATTCCAAGGTCCCCTCTCCATCCAGGAGGAATGGGTCCGGCATCTCCAGCGGCACATCCTGGAAATGAATTTCTCCAAAGCGGATCCTTTACGGGGAGAAGCCCCCCCCCAACCCGAGCCTCCCGCTATGGCTGAGGCTCAGTAACCGCAGCCCAAATCCCGGCTCCCACCGGGAAGCGGCACCGGGAAGCGACCGCGGATGTGGCTGGAGCATCCTCACCCCTCTTCCCGCATCCACAATTCCCTGTTTTATCAAATGGTTGGGAAAAGGCGGGGGAGGGAGCGATCGCTGCCTTTTGCCCCCCCTCCGGAGCTGCCCCATATCCAATGGGATGAGCTGGAGTGGGGGGGGGGGGTGGGAGGGGGGGCCACACACACAATCCCAGCTGCAAGCACTACATGGATCCAGGCAACCCTCAGTGATCCCACGGGAGACAACCGGGATCCGGATCGGGAGCGACTCAGTCCGGGGAGGGGATGGGGATGGGGGGGGGGCTTTTCCCCCCTTTCTTCATTCCCAAAATCCATTGGTTTTGTTGTTTTTAACCCAAAGAACAAACGGTGTCGCCTCCAGCGGGATGGAGCCGGAGCCGGGGCGGGGGGGGGGGGGGGTGGGAATGTCGGGAGCAGCCACGTTCCTGGAAAACGCTGTGGATTTTGTATATGACCCTTTAGAGTTAATGTATATTCGATTATTTTTGGGATTCCTGGTTTTTTCCATAGGCAAAAAGAGGAGTTTTAGTCTCACGTAGATGTTGGAATCCCGCCATTCCGGGGTTGCATGTTCCCAAAAATCCCCTTTTCCCACCCCAAACGCCGCCGCTTCCCTCCCGCTTCATTCCACCGCAGCCACGGATCCTAAGGGATTCACCCTGCAACCCCTCCCACCCCACCCCCCCACCCCCCCCCACTCCACCAAGGGTGACATTCCCGGCATTCCCATCGGGAATGGGCCGCGGCGGCGCCGGGAGGAGTCGGCTCAGCCCCACTTTCACTGTTGCTTTCTTATTCCTTTGGTTTTTCCCGGTTTTCCCTTGTCTAGCTCCATAGACTTCCTGACTTTTTTAAGCTCTAGATTTGTGTAGGACTAAGGAATCTTCATTTTTATTTGGAATTCCCAAAAACTTCCGAATTTCAGGAGGAATTTTAACGGATAAATATTTTTTTCTCTCCTTTTTTTTTTTTTTTTTTTTTATTTCATTTCCAAGGTTTTTTTGGGACATTTTCTGGTGATTCCTGTACCCGGGAATGTGGGACGATGGATTAAATTCTTCTGGAAATGAAGCCGGGAGAAGAGCCCAGTCTCTGGATGCCTGGAATGCTGTGATGGGGGCTGGGATTCGACAGGGTTTAGGGTGGTTTAATGGGGGAAAAGAGTCAGGATGTGGTCTTGATCCCTGGGAATGGGGACATAGGGTCGGGATGTGGCTGTGACCCCTGGGAATGGGGACACGGGGTCGGAATGTGGCTGTGACCCCTGGGAATGGGGACACGGGGTCGGAATGTGGCTGTGACCCCTGGGAATGGGGACACGGGGTCGGAATGTGGCTGTGACCCCTGGGAATGGGGACACGGGGTCGGGATGTGGCTGTGACCCTTGGGAATGGGGACACGGGGTCAGGATAGGTCCATGTCTTGTGGCCAATGGGACCTGGATGTAGCTGTGGCCTTTGGGAATGGGGTCATAGGGTCAGGATGGGAACTTGACCTCAGGGATTGGGGTCATGGGGGGTCAGGATGGGAACTTGACCTCAGGGATTGGGGTCATGGGGGGGTTAGGATGGGAACTTGACCTCAGGGATTGGGGTCATGGGGGGTCAGGATGGGAACTTGACCTCAGGGATTGGGGTCATGGGGGGGGTCAGGATGGGAACTTGACCTCAGGGATTGGGGTCACGGGGGGTCAGGATGGGAACTTGACCTCAGGGATTGGGGTCACGGGGGGGTCAGGATGGGAACTTGACCTCAGGGATTGGGGTCACGGGGGGGTCAGGATGGGAACTTGACCTCAGGAATTGGGGTCATGGGGGGGTCAGAATGGGAACTTGACCTCAGGAATTGGGGTCATGGGGGGGTCAGGATGGGAACTTGACCTCAGGAATTGGGGTCATAGGGTCAGGATGGGAACTTGACCTCGGGAATTGGGGTCACGGGGGGGTCAGGATGGGAACTTGACCTCAGGGATTGGGGTCACGGGGGGTCAGGATGGGAACTTGACCTCATGAATTGGGGTCATGGGGGGTGAGGATGGGAACTTGACCTCAGGAATTGGGGTCATGGGGTCACATGAGGACACACCTTGTGGACATGGGGACCTGGATGCGGCCTGACCCCTGGGCACGGGGTCACGGGGTCAGGATGGGAACTTGACCCCTGGGAATGGGGTCACGGGGTCACGCTGAGGCCACGCCCCCGGGCAGCCGCGGGGGGGCGCCAACGCGCCCGCTCCCAGCACGCGGCCCTCGCGCGGGAGGGGCGGAGCCTCCTCGGGGGTGGGGCCAATAGGAGCAGGCGCTGGGGAGGGGCGGGGCTAACGATCTGCTGCGCGATTGGCTGAAGCGGGGGTGGGTGGGGATTAGCCCTCATAGCTGACCAATGAGAGAGGCAGAACTGCCTCGGCCACGCCCCCTCGCCGCACCGCCCAGTCAGCTGTGGGCTTCGCGGGTCCCATTGAGAGCGGAGCAACCAACCAACCAACGGGATGGCCGGCCGGGAGCTCCACCCCCTCCCTTACCCTCCGTCCGGACCAATAGCGGCGGGGCAAGGCCGGGCGGCCGACCAATGAGGTGGGCGGGGCCGGCGAGGGGCCCATAAAGGCGTTGGCAGGAGGAGGCGGTGCCGCCATCATGAGCTACTCCGGTGAGCGGCGGCGCAAGATGGCGGCGGGGCTCGGTCTGGGGCGGGAGCCGCTATGGGGAAGGGGAATGGGGGACCCCCGGGTCCGGGGGGGGGGGGGTTTGGACCCGGTCCCCATCGCGGCCTCTTTGCCCCTTGCGTCGGGACGGGGTCGTTCCCGTTGTGGGTCCGGTTGGAGCGGGGATAAGGGGGGGGGTGGGGGAATGAATGGGGCAGCCCCGGTTCGTGAGGGAGCATCCCCATGGATACGGGTGGAAGTCGGCGTTTTCCCCCCTAGCGCATTCCCGGCTCATTCCATCCCCGTTTCCACGTTCCCTGCGGAGGGATCCGTGTCAGTGTTGGGGGGGATGAATGGGATAACCCCCCCCCCCCCCCCCTTGTGTCCCTGTTCCCTCTTGGATTCCCAAAGGATTCCAGTGTGGAAGCATCCCACAGGAGCCCGCTTTGGGATGCAGGCGGGGTCGTTGGCGTTGCTGGGTTGAGGTTGGGGCAGGATCCATGGGGTATTGGGAAATGGGAATCTCCTCATCCACGGTGATGCCAAAGTCATTGAATGGCTTTTCCATTCTGTTCCAGGTTATGGGGACTGGAATTCCGGCACAAACAGAGGCAAGTAGTGATAGCAGTTGTACAGAAAAGCTGTTTTAAGCAGACAATTGGAGGTTTTGGGGTCGTTTCCCCCCCAGAACTTGTCTTTTTTAGCAAGAGGAGAAGCTTTTCCATCCGTTTCTGCTCTAAAACGTGTGGAAAACGCGCTCCAGAGCCTCATCCCATTGGATGCGGATGTGGCTCTTGCTTACGCCCGTGTTAACCCAAAACGGGGTTTATGGATGCCCTGCTGTGGGCAATGGGTTTATTCCCGTCTGGGGCAGAGGGAAGCATGGAATGTGGCTGTGTTTTATGGGATTCCATGAGGGAATCCATGGGATCGAGTTCCTGGTTGGAATAAGGAGGGATTGGAGTTGGTTTCAGTGATTTGGCCTCTGGATCCAAAGGGGAGCTGGAAGCGAAGCGGTGATCCCTGTTTCTCCAGGTTATGAGGGATACAGTTACGGCTATGGCTACAGCCAGGAGAACTCTGGGAATTACGGCTACGGAATGGCCACTTCGACCTCCTGGGAAGTGGCCAACTCGGACGTGGACGTGAATCCGGATGGCTCCGGCGGTGCCGAGGGGGTCCTGGGGAAGATGAACCTGGCGTCCCACATGGACACGGATGCGATGCAGGGAGCGCCCTATGGGTCTGGGGATAGGTGAGTGCAGGGCAGGAGCTGCTGCTCCCATTGTTCCTTATGGAAAAGTGGGGATGGGGACGCCAGTGGTGTCCCTTAGGGCCGGGGTTGTTCGGTGTCCTCGTTGATGAGGGGATGGAGAGCATCCCAATGACACCAGGTTGGGTGGGTCCCCAGGGGGTTATAATGGGGGACAACGGGGGCACTGTGCTCCACCTCCTGGGGGGGAGACAGGGGGACAGTGGGGTATAATGGGTTATAATGGGGGGGTACAATGGGGTTATAATGGGGTACAACGGGTTATAATGGGGTATAATGGGTTATAATGGTGGGGTACAATGGGGTTATAATGGGGTACAATAGGGTTATAATGGGTTACAGTGGGGTTATAATGGTGTACAATGGGTTATAATGGGGAGCAATGGGGGCTCTGCGCTCCACCTCCTGCAGGGGGAGACAGTAAGTGGGGCAGTGGGGTACAGTGGGGTTCAACAGGGTTCAGTGGGTACAGTGGGGTACAATGGGGAGCTCTGTGCTCCACCTCCTGCAGGGGAGACAGTGAGCGGGACAATGGGTTATAATGGGGTACAATGGGGTGCAATGGGGAGCTCTGCGCTCCACCTCCTGCAGGGGAGACAAGGGGACAGTGGGGTATAATGGGTTATAATGGTGGGGTATAATGAGGTTATAATGGGTTATAATGGGGTACAGTGGGGTTATAATGGGGTACAATGGGGTTATAATGATTCATAATGGGGTACAATGAGGTTATAATGGGTTACAATGGGTTATAATGGTGTACAATGGGTTATAATGGGGAGCAATGGGGGCTCTGCGCTCCACCTCCTGCAGGGGGAGACAGTAAGTGGGGCAGTGGGGTTCAGTGGGGTACAGTGGGGTACAATGGGGAGCTCTGTGCTCCACCTCCTGCAGGGGAGACAGTGAGCGGGACAATGGGTTATAATGGGGTACAATGGGGAGCTCTGTGCTCCACCTCCTGCAGGGGAGACAAGGGGACAGTGGGGTATAATGGGTTATAATGGTGGGGTATAATGAGGTTATAATGGGGTACAGTGGGGCTATAATGGGGTACAATGGGGTTATAATGATTCATAATGGGGTTCAATGAGGTTGTAATGGGTTACAATGGGTTATAATGGGTTACAATGGGTTATAATGGGGTACAATGGGTTATAATGGGGTACAATGGGTTATAATGTGGAGCAATGGGGGCTCTGCGCTCCACCTCCTGCAGGGGGAGACAGTAAGTGGGGCAGTGGGGTACAGTGGGGTTCAACGGGGTTCAGTGGGGTACAATGGGGTACAATGGGGAGCTCTGCGCTCCACCTCCTGCAGGGGAGACAAGGGGACAGTGGGGTATAATGGGTTATAATGGTGGGGTATAATGAGGTTATAATGGGGTACAGTGGGGTTATAATGGGGTACAATGGGGTTATAATGATTCATAATGGGGTACAATGAGGTTATAATGGGGTACAACGGGTTATAATGGGTTATAATGGGTTACAGTGGGGTTATAATGGGGTACAATGGGTTATAATGGGGTGCAACGGGTTATAATGGGTTACAGTGGGGTTATAATGGGTTACAATGGGGTAATAATGGGTTATAATGAGTCACAATGGGTTATAATGGGGTACAATGGGTTATAATGGGGGCTCTGCGCTCCACCTCCTGCAGGGGGAGACAGTAAGTGGGACAGTGGGGCTCAGCGGGGTACAATGGGGAGCTCTGCGCCCCACCTCCTGCAGGGGAGACAGCAGGACAATGGGTTATAATGGGGAGCAATGGGGTACAATGGGGAGCTCTGCGCCCCACCTCCTGCAGGGGAGACAGCAGGACAATGGGTTATAATGGGGAGCAATGGGGTACAATGGGGAGCAAGCTCCATAGGTATCCGGATCTATGGGATGAGGTTCAGCCCTAAACCTGCCACTTGGGCCACGCCAGCCCCGTGCAGCGCTGGTTTTCCT